TTACTAATAAACAAAAATAGGAAATTGCTGATGTCGGGTCATTGCGCTGAATATATTAGCTCATTTATAAATGAAAGGTGGAAGACTTTTGATGCATTGTACAACACATTTGTAGGCAAAGATATACTCCCACGAGAAAAATTTAGAGAAAATAATAACACACAGAAGATGAAATGAGCTAAACAATGCCACCAGATTTGCAACATTCACATAAGAAGACATAAGATGAAATGAGCTAAAAAACATTTACAGGTACCTTAAGGAAACTCGAGCATCTTCTAAATGATGATCGCTTGCACAATTAAGCATATTTGAATATTGCAAAAATAACCCAATGCATTAAAATACACATTAATGCAAACACATTCTCCATATGTTAGTAAATACAAAACACTTCATACAAGCATATTATCCAACATATAAAATATACTGTGTAGTAGTAGTGTGCTACGCTGCCTTGTAAATACATCATGCACTACATGAAAGTGCCGAATCTCCATGCAAATATATTATGCATGCAAATAGGTAATGTATGGATGTATTATACATACATATAATAAAAAAAAAAAATACACTACGTTAATGCAGCATGCCATTATACTATATATCAATATATCGTGCAAGATGTAAATATATCATACATTATGTTCATGCATTAAGCTACTACACAACATATCAACATATCATGAAAGCACAATCAAGCATTATGCAAATACAAAATGTTAACATTTATGCATACATTTAACTATATAAGTACATATGTAAATATGTTAGCATGCATGTGAATATATAAGTATATATGCGAACACATATTTAGGTTATATATAACCCTTGTATTACGTGCAAATAGTCACCATATAAATGCATGCAAAAGTAAATACTCACACGGGCCTCGACGAGTGTGACGAGCATACACATGTGATGTCCGAGGATGCTGCGCGGGTCAAGGTACCCTTGAACAAAGCAACCCACGACTATTGATAAGGATCATTCGATCAGGTTGGGTTGACTACCTCAAGTGACTAAGTAGATTAGAGACCATGATAACCCGAGATGATAGAACCATATGATCTTGATTGGGTTCACATCATTCCCCCACCATCTGATTTAAGTGCGCGGTGATATAAATTTAAATTTTAAACAACAAAACCTACTGCTACTATATGTCAGATACTATGTATCTATTTGATGACTAGCCTAATCAAAAGTTCTCTCACCATCGAGAGGGGTAATTAACTATAGGGGCTTATGTCTATAGGAAACCTGAACACAGATCATAAAGTCCTCATAAAATGAGGGTGAAATCTCAGGGTAATGTCTTATTTAATAAAACCCAATCTACCTTTTGAAAATTTGGCTCTAAACTTGTTAAAAACCTCCTTACCAACACGAAATAGAGAGGGCCATGGAGAGGCTGGGGCGCTAATTTTCGGAACCCATAACATGATGAAAATTTGTATGCTTTATTTGCATCGAAAGTATCTTCAACTCGGTTGTTTATTTGGTTCATTTTATTTGTTAATTCTATGTTTAAGAGCATACCATTGAGATCTTTAGAAAATTTATATGTTAATGGTCAATAAAGGCTATGGCTTGATTTGTAACAATTTTTTTGCTGCTTTCTAAATTATTTTTCTAGCACAAAATTTTTTTGAATTAAGATTTTTATAATAAAATTAATTTTAAAAGCAATAAAAAAGCTGTTCAAATGAAGACTTTATTTTAGTTTCTAGAGTTTATTGTCGCACTTGTATTGCAAAAGAATCACTCATTTAATTAAAAGTTAACCCAAAGTAAACAGAGATTGAAGTCATGCCAATAATCTCATTGAATGAGCGAAACATGTCTAATTTTATCTTTAATTTCTTTTATGTGTTCTACTTTTATCTCCATTATTTGATATTAACTTATAAAGGTTTCATTTGGGACGGCTTTCTTGCTTTATAAAGTTACATTTTAACACAAAAATCAATCAAAAGTAGGAACAATAATTATCTACACAATTATATCATAACTACTCTGTCATGAGTATAAAAAATAACTAAAAAATAAATAGAATTTGAAGAATCCTAACCAGTCTCACAATGTCGTGGCCTGAAATCATTTAACCATATATAATGAGCTTAAAAAACAAATATGTCACCAAAATCTATCACTAAATTCAAATCATGAAAAAGGAGAAATATGTATGTTAACAATCAAATCATAGTAGTTACATTCATATAATTATATATCGTGCAAGATGTAACCCAATGCATTGAAATACGCACTAATGCATTCACATCATGCATATGTTATTAAATACAAAACATTTCATACAAGCATATTATCCAACATATAAAATATACTGTGTAGCAGTAGTGTGCTACTTTGCCTTGCAAATACATCATGAACTACATGAAAGTGCCGAATCGCCATGCAAATATATTATGCATGCAAATAGGTAATGTATGGATGTATATACATACATATAATACAAAAAAACTATACACTACTTTATTGCAGCATGCCACTATACTATATATTAATATATCGTGCAAGATGTAAATACATCATACACTATGTTCATGCATTAAGCTACTACACAGCATATCAACATATCATGAAAGCACAATCAAGCATTATGCAAATACAAAATGTTAACATTTATGCATACATTTAATTATATAAGTACATTGTAAATATGTTAGCATGCAGGTGAATATATAAGTGTATATGCGAACACATATTTAGGTTATATATAACCCTTGTATTACGTGCAAATAATCACCATATAAATGCATGCAAAAGTAAATAATCACATGGGCCTCGACGAGTGTGACGAGCATACACATGCGATGTCCGAGGATGTTGCGCGAGTCAAGGTACCCTTGTACAAAGCAACCCAAGGTTGTCGATAAGGATCCTTCGGTCAGGTTGGGTTGACTACCTCCTGTGACTAAGTAGATTAGAGACCATGACAACCCGAGATGATAGAACCATATGATCTTGATTGGGTTCATCATCATTCTCCCACCATTCGATTTAAGTGCGCGGTGATATAAATTTAAATTTTAAACAACAAAACCTACTGCTACTATACGTCAGATACTATGTATCTATTTGATGACTAGCCTTAATCAAAAGTTCTCTCACTATCGAGAGGGGTAATTAACTATAAGGGCTTATGCCTATAGGAAACCTGAACACATATCATAAAGTCCTCATAAAATGAGGGTGAAATCTCAAGGTAATGTCTTATTTAATAAAACTCAATCTACATTTTGAAAATTTGGCTTGAAACTTGTTAAAATCCTCCTTGCCAACACGAAATAGAGAGGGCCATGGAGAGGCTGGGGCGCTAATTTTCGGAACCCACAACATGATGAAAATTTGTATGTTTTATTTGCATCGAAAGTATCTTCAACTCGGTTGTTTATTTGGTTCATTTTATTTGTTAATTCTATGTTTAAGAGCATACCATTGAGATCTTTAGAAAATTTATAGGTTAATGGTCAATAAAGGCTATGGCTTCATTTGTAACAATTTTTTTTGCTGCTTTCTAAATTATTTTTCTAGCACAAAAAATTATTGAATTAAGAATTTTATAATAAAAAATTATTTTAAAAAGTAATAAAAAAGCTGTTTCAAACGAAGACTTTTGCTTCGTTTGGGACAGCTTTTTTACTGCTTCTTAAAGCAGTTTTTTAGTATAAAAATTTTAAATTTTATATTAAAAAGCTGCTTCAAGAAGCAGTAAAAAAGCCGTCCCAAACAAAGCCTTTGTTTTAGCTTCTAGAGTTTATTGTTGCACTTGTATTGCAAAAGAATCACTCATTTAATTAAAAGTTAACCCAAAGTAAACGGAGATTGAAGTCATGCCAATAATCTCATTGAATGTGCAAAACATGTCTAATTTCATCTTTAATTTCTTTTATGTGTTCTACTTTTATCTCCATTATTTGATATTAACTTATTAAGGTTTCATTTGGGACAGCTTTCTTAAAAATTACATTTTAACACAAAAATCAATAAAAGTAGGAAAAATAATAATCTACTACTATCCCAAACAAATCCTAAGCATTATTGATTCGAACAACCAATATATAAAAAATAAAATTCAAATTTCTTGCTAATTTTATGCTTCAAAACTCTTATTGTTCCTTTTCATCAGCATTTATATTCTAGTTCTAATATTGCTCATTTCTGGATTAAAAAAAAATATGTAATTCAATTATTTGGTGCTTGTAATATGTGAATCCTTTTATTTTATTTCATTTTATTTTTTTACATATGTATTCATATCACATATCATGCAATTGACATTAGAAAACACTAATATCTCAAGCCATACTACATCTCCTGCACCTAAAACAACCTGTTCAATAACTCCACTATAATAAAGACTAATAGAAAGGATATTCTTTAATTTAATGGACTTTAATAGTTGGGCTCCATTTGTTTGAAATCTGGTGGAAATGCAAATGAAATTTGCTTTACAACTTCATGCTACTGAGTTTGATTTCGATATATTAACATGTTACTAATTTTTCTAAAAAAATGAGTAAAAAAAGTCATCAACTAACCAATATTTCTTTTTATTCGACGGGTTCGGCCTGGCACCTGCTTATTTATTATGAAAAAAATAATTATGAGTTAAACAATTATTATAATAAAATGATAAAAAAATACTTGAAATTATAAGTAAAATAACAAAGCATAACTTATATAAAAAAATGAGATATAATTTTCAAATATTTTCAACAACTTCATACTTAAAATTCTAAATCCCAATATATTTTAAGTATATTTATATTAATATTTTTTAAAACAAATTAGCTCGTGAGCTAACGAATCCAGTCGAGGTTGGCTCAAATTTGGCTCATTAGCTCATCGAGCTAGACTCATGAGCCATTTACCATGCCGAGCCCGAGTCAGCTCACAAGTCAGGCTTGACCCACTTACACCCATAGCCTACACATAAAAGGATAACTTGAAGCACAAGTTTCTAATTGCAGATCTAAAGGCAAGCAATACTTCAGCACTCGTCTAATTTCTTTCAAATTATTCTCTCTTTACAACAAATTGACAGCTTTATAATAAAAGTTTATAGGACCCACAATAAAAAAAAATTGTGGCAAAAATGATATGAAAACTGATATATGGAGATAGGAAAAATTAATTACAACAAAGAATACTAGTTCTTCACAACTTAACAAAAATCTGATTTAGCTAGCATTGTTTGGTTCCCTTTCAGGTCCAAAATACAATGTGCAGCAGATGGATCCCAAAATAAGCAAACAACCAATGAGCTTATTAAAAGAAACTGGAGCTCCCAGGTATGACACGCTCCAGGCTAGGGAAAGAATCACCTAGAAAAAAATACATATTAGTTGTTTATAAGCTTTGATTTATCAGATAACTTCATAGGTAAACTTCACCTGGTGCAAGTTGTGCAGTGATAACTAATTTAGCATTTCTATGAAATTGGAAACATAAATTAAAGTTTCTTTTTGGTAGATGTGATGATAATGTATTTCAAGATAGGGGTGTAAACAGGTCGAGTCGAATAGTGACTTTATCGAGCTTGGCTCATCAGATATATAGTCGGCTTGAACTCGATCTTGAGCTCGGGTTGAGCTCAAAAGATGAGCTCAAACTCGAACTTATCCCACTGTAAACGAGCTCGAACCGGCTCACAAGCCTCGTCGGGATATTAAAATTTAGGCGAGATTTAAAAATATTTAAATTAAATAAATAAAATAAAATTATTTAAAAATATTAATAATTATTCTAGCTGGCTTGCGAGCTCACGAGCCGAGTCTCATCGACTTGTGAGCTCGATAAGCTCAGCTCACGAGCGAAAAAATGAGTCGATCTCGAGCTGGCTTGGATCACTTACACCCCTATTTTAGGAACTTAGGATAACAACTTTTACGAATGGAAAACATAAATCAACTGCCCCAATCCTCATGTTGTGCTGTTCTCTATCTAAAACCTTTCAATACCAAATTATCCAAGAACTGCACCTAAATTCATCAGATTTTAAGGATTTCCTAAATACTTAAAAATTTCAAGTATCTACTCAAAAGACGTCCTAATAATTTGCCAATATCCATTTTTATCTTAAGAAAGATGGTGGAGAAGCGGACCTGTAGGTATATCATATTAGTGACTTTGCAGATCTTCTCAAGTTGTAGTCCACGAGCTAGGGATATCTGCAACAAAATAATATACACAAATGGAGGGCCTAAATTGTTGAGAGCTGTCAACAAAAGAAAAAAAAAAAAAAAGGGATGACTATATATTCAAATTGGAGCAATGTAAAGCCAAGCATACCTCTGCAAGAAAAGCCAGGACTCCTAACACAACCATCAAGAAAAATGTGAAAATATTTGGCAGTACAAACTTCTGCAAGCAAGTAAAACTGTGTAAGGAATATGGTAATCCGGATTACCAGATCAATACAACTCTTAGGCTTCGTTTAGGACAACTTTCTTATTACTTCTTAAAACAGTTTTTTAGTATAAAAATTAAAATTTTTATACTAAAAAGCTACTTTAAAAAATAGTAAGAAAACTATCTCAAACGAAGCCTTAGTTTGACGTGCTAAACATTACCAACATATTTGTAATTATCTTATTGTTCATATTAAAAATAGGCAGATTAAACGACATAACCTTGAGCTTCAAAACTTCAGAATTAATTTATCATGTGCAGCAGCCAAGGCTTTTAAAGTAAACACACGGTAATAATAATATTGTAAACTCCATACCTGCAATGTCAACGTACAAATTGCTGACAATGGAGTAACCATTAATCCAAATGAAAAAACCGTATACCTGCAAAAGGGAAGACATATGAAACGAAAAACTCATAATTACTGTTAAACTGAAGCCTTTGTCCCACTACGTGGGTCGGCTACATGGATCCTTTTTCTCTATTGTGTCATGTTAAGAGTCAAACTCTCGTTTATATCTAATAAAGAAAGATCATTTCAAATTTTTTTTAACCAAGTCTTTTTAGGTCTACCTCTACTTTTTTTAACATAAGTCAAATCTAATACCTCTACTTTCCTAACCGGGTCATCAGAAGGCCGCAGTTTTATGCGACCAAACCATCTGAGGCGACTCTCTAATCGTATCTTTCATTGGAGCTACTCCAACCTTTTCACATATATGCTCATTTCGTATCCTATCTCTAAGGGTCAAGCCACTCATCCACCTGAGCATCCTCATCTCTGCAACACTTAACTTAGTATTATGCTTCATTTTTAATGGCCAACATTCGGGACCATAAAACATTGCAGGTCTCACCACCATCGTATAGAATTTTCCCTTAAGTTTGAGGGGGAATTTTCTATCACACAACAAGCCTGATGCATTCATAAAGAACAAAATGACTACTTCAGAAAAAATTGTGAGCATCGCTTCTATTGCAGATAACACTACTATATTGCTGTTTTGGTTTGCTGTTAAAAGAATTCATGTAAAATAAAGCCCTACAAAGTAGATGCTGCCAAACACCCAAAGTCCGAGCTTCACAAAAGCTTTTGAACATGATTAGTTACATGAGTAAACAAGTATGATAGCAAGCATCAGGATTAATATGCACCCAGTAAATAACTCCGTTTGCACCATGGAGGTATGGAGTACATGTGAAAGGGCTAACCATGGAAAATATGAAGGTGACTATTATAACTTAGCCCTCACTTCTGATGCAAAAAGATAAATATCAGTGGGGGGAGGGCATGTCCTTGAATACTAATGCTCTTTCATAGTCCTGATGTGTAGCAAATCCAACTCTGGACTACCATAGGAACTTCTATACTTCAGATTTACTAGTGCTATTTTTAGTCAGGATGAAATTGCAAGCTGATGTGGGCTTCTGAACAGAACTGGGAGGACATCAACATGACCCTTAGAAGTCTCCATAGTGCGAGGAAAGTGCCAACAGCCTCTGATATCCTTGACATGCCGGGCTACCGTGCAAATCGGCCTGGAAGTTTGGACCACTCAAGTTCTCTCAATGACAGCGATCGTCATTTAATGAACCATTTATGCAATATTCTTCCTTGAGGTGATGATTTTATGCTTGCAAAAATGACGATACATTGTCATCTTCTGTGACCAAATACTCCTCTAAACTTTCTCTCTTAATTTTCCTTCACTGTTTCTTCAATTAGTTTGCACTTAAATCAACTACAATTCATCACACAGTTCCATATTAATTACATCCAAATCTTTTTACATTTAATTGCAAGTTTACTTACCTAAATTTTGTATTTCATAGAATTTTTCTCACTCGCACTTCACTGCACAGTAATTTGAATTTCACTGCTTTCATAGAATTCCCTCTAGCCAACAGTGCTGAAAGCTTCCTATACAATAGCCGAACCATACAATCATGCCTATGCCGCTATTCGCCGAAGCAGTGTGCCGAATACAGTGAAGAACACAGTGCTGAACTCCCTCAATTGGCTTTGCATGAAACAAAACAGAGAAAACATCTCTGTTCGCTTGCATAATCCAAACAAAAGGAGAAATGAGAGAGGGGCCATACACTTACATAACTACTTTCATTCTCATCCTATTAAAACACCTAATTCCAATCAGTTGGCTTGCGTTACAGAGCATATAAGAAATAATTTTTTTTTTAGAATAACTGCCCACTCACATAACTGCTATCACACCCTCACATGCCTTTGTAACACCTTCTCAGGAATATAGATACATAAAATTTTATTTACCATTACTTAACCATTTTATTTAACATAAATTTATTAAAGATAATTAATCTAACTCACCTGTTTGGGTATTACAGTCTTCCCTCATTAGAATTTCGTCCCCGAAATACAACTTTTCATACATTTTCAAATAAATGAGGGAATTTCTGTCTCAAGTCTGTCTACTTTTCCCATGTAGCATCCTTCACTGACGTGTGCTTCTATTTTACTTTCACATAAGGAATTATTCTGCTTCTTAATTTATGAACATCTCTTTCTAATATCAATTCAGGTTATTCAATATAAGTCAAATCCTTATGAAGTTCAATGTCATTCTGAGAAATCATTTGACTTTCATTTGTAACCCATTTTCTGAGCAATGATACATGAAAAACATTGTGTACATTATACATGTCTGCAGATAATGCTAATTTATAAGCAACTTATCCCACTCTTTCAATTATTTCAAAAGGACCAATATATCTAGGATTGAGTTTTTCACTTTGGTCAAATCTAGCAATACCATTCATTGGTCCCACCTTCAAGAATACAAAATCTCTCACTTCAAATTCTATCATTTTATGCTTGGGATCATAATATTTTTGCTGACGGTCTTGAGCTACTTTTAATATGTCTCTAATTAATCTGACATTTTCAGTAGCTTGATCCACTAAATATGGACCCAAAATTTGTCTTTCCTCAACTTCAAACCAACCTAAGGAAGTTCTGCATTTTCTATCATATAAAGCTTCATATGGAGCTATCTTGATGCTTGATTGGTAGCTAATGTTATAGGTGAATTCTATTAGTAGATATGATCTTTCCAGCTACCTCCAAAATCCAGAATACACAACCTTAACAAATCTTCCGACACTTGAATCAATCTTTATGATTGGCCATATGTCTGTGGATGAAAGGCCGTACTGAACTTCAACTTTGTACCAAAATTTTCATGTGTACTCTTCCATAATTTAGACCTAAAACATACATCTCTATATAATATAATAGCCTTAGGAATTTCATGCAATATGATGATTTCCTTTACAGATAACCTAGCCAACTTCTCCATTGAATCAGTCTGACAGATAGGTAGAAAATGGGCTGACTTTGTTAGTTTGTCAACCACAACCCATATATAATCATGCCCTTGCCTTGACCAAGGAAATCCTGTAACAAAATTCAAGGCTATTTCTTCTTACTTACATTCTGGAATTGGTAGCGATTGTAACATTCCATTGGATTTCTGATATTCAGCTTTAACAACTTGACATTTTTCACACTTAGCCACATAATCTACCATATCTCTTTTCATTCATGGTCACCAAAACAAAGCCTTTAAATCCTTATACATCTTTGGACTTCCGAGGTGGATTAAATAACCTGAATTATGTGCTTCATATAGAATTTCCTGAATAAATTATGACTCATTTGGCATCCACAAATGCATATTGCTCTTGATTTTGCCATGTTCATCAACACTGATATCCATTCTTTTTCCTCATTGCCACTGCTCAATGATTTTATGATATTTTGTACTAGACTTCTGAGCTTCAGTGATACTTTCTTCTAAAGAAGGATAAACTATCATCTAATTAAGGCTAATTGAATCTTAACCTCCCAGCATTCTGACTTTCAATTGTAAAGCTTCCATTTCTTTAATTAATCATTCTTCTATAGTCAACATACAATTCAATTGTGCTCTAGACTTTCTGATTAATGTATCAGCCACTACATTAGCCTTGCATGGACAGTATTGGATGTCAAGTGTAAAACCTACAGAAATGCCGGTTTAGACCTCACACGCTTTTCGATGCGTCGCGACGAGTTTTAAGTAAAATTTTCAAAGTCGTCGGAATTCGACGTAAATAATTTTATAAAATAGAGCGTAAAATTCTGAGTGAAACAATATATAGAACCCATATGTAATTTCACATAATTTAAGAATTAAAATTCGCGTAAGTTCGAAAATGCCTATAATGCCCTTAAGGAGTGTTAAAACACAAATGATTTAAGTGAGGGTAGTTTGGACTTTAGGCAAATGGAATGAGGCTCCCAGTCTAAATAGGGGACCGAAATATTTCGGTCCCCTATTCTGTCTTGCGGTCGAACCGAGCGAGAGAAAGGGGGGCGTCGGGTAGGAGGTGGAACCGAAGCTTTTTGAGGTGGTTTCCGGCGGCGATTTTGAGGACGATAGAAGGAGAAATCTAAGAGAAGGTTAAGGTAAGTGGTTTGCAAGTGTTTCCCTTCTCCTTGAGTTTTCATTAAGGAAAGGAAATTAGGGTTTTGAGAAAAATAAATTTTCCTTTTAGATAAGTTGAGGGAAGTGTTAAGTGATGTTTTTAAACCTAAGAATGAAATGTTTTCCCTAAAAATGTGGATTTCAAAAAAATTAGGGTTTCCTCAAATTTTCTTTTCTTTTAAATTGGTTTTGTAGGATAGTTTTTAAATGACATTAGGAGTCCCATAAAAGAAATAATGCATTTTTTTATGAAGAAATTTTAGGTTTGGAAATTAGGGTTTTTCTCTAATCATAGAATTTTTGAGCTTGAAGGTTTCCATTAGGTTCAGGAAGACTTTTAGAAGCAAATTTAGGACTCTTACATCAAAAACCAATTTTCCTATTTTTGTATTTAAAAATTCCGAAAATAAAATTTAATTTTAAAATGCTAATTGAGTGTAGTGAATGGTGTGTGCTTAAATAGAAATTTAGGAACTTGACTCTTTTATAAAAAAATAAAATAGGATTTAAGGGGTTTAGATGGGAAGCATGAACATGAATTAGGGAGGGGTCCTTTATTACCATAGCATAAGGGTTTAGAGAATTTATGTATGATTAGTTATTTTTACTTGATACGTGTGTTTCATTTAGAGTTTAAACGCGTGGAAAGGAAGAGTTCGTAAAGATAATTGGCGGAGCACATTGTATTGAGGTAGGTAAATGTGGCACTTTTAAATTTAGAAGAAAATTTCAATTCTTTCCACAATAACATTTTTTATACTGTTGTGAAAATTTTTAACATTCTTCCAATCGTACTGTTTTTATATCTTATTATGCTCTAAATATCATATACATGTTTCTATGGTTGCCTAATTATATGAACTCATTTGGAAATGGTT